GTGCCGGTGTGTTAGTTAGGGGGAGAGGCGCGGGCCGGGGGAGCGGGAGGGGGTGGGGGGGGGTGGAAAATTTCGATACCCTAAGGTGCCCTGGTGATCCTGGGTTAGCATCGTCTCTTCTGAGCCCGCTCTTGATGGGTTGGAAGCGTTTTCATAGCGAATTCACGCCGATTTTGCCATACGGACGTCCCTGGCGCGCGCTCTTGAAGGCCTCATCCTGGGATGGTGCTCGCCAGCGTGAGTTCATACAGTGCTGCGAGCTGGCCTAAGGCCGGACCTTACGACGGTCCAGCGCTGGGCAGCGTGATGGCTCTTACTCGAGGCGCGACATGAGTGTACGAGGACCTCAACGTCTCGGTTTGGCGAACCAGCATGAGGAGCGGAGCCGCTGTAGCTCCTCCCTGCAGCTTGCGCGTCGCGGTTTGGCCGACGTCCCATCCACCGCGCATACTGCGGCGGCTCTCCAGCTCAAGAAGGCTGCGCTCGACCACCACATCGCCCGAGTCAGTGGTCCGGACGCCCCGCTGAGCCTCGCGCCGCAGTGCAGCCAGTTTGCGCGGCCGTGATGCGCGAATCGAACCGGTGCGATGTTGTTCGGCACTCTAGATGGCCTGAACATGCTTGCGTTCAAGTCTTGAGGTCTGCGCTTAAACTTGAAAATTTAATAAAATCGGGTCCGACCGGCCTAGCAGTCTGCGCTCACCACACGGACCCCCACCTCATCGAGAAACTTTTCGCACTCCAAGACATACTAGTTTTTCTAAGGTGCTCTACAAGTTAGGCACAAAAGATATGGCATTGCAGGCCATTTAGGGCCCCTTAGACGATCACTGAGTAGGCCAAAATCCCCACTGGGCCGGGGGAGCGACCTTAATAGAATTTCCGCTGGCGCTTGCCGCTATGACCCACCTCGGCCAACCAACGCTTGCCAAGCGGCTTGGCCTCCTGCTTGGCCTCCACCTTCGCCGCCACCGGGCGCTGATCGCTGGGTCCCTTGCCGCCGCCACCCTTGCCGCCGCCACCCTTGCCCCCCCTGCCGCCGCCCTTGCCGCCGCCCTTGCCGCCGCCCTTGCCGCCGCCCCTGCCGCCGCCCCTGCCGCCGCCCCTGCCGCCGCCCTTACCGCGGCCGCCCACCGTCCGGTCCGGCGCATGCGCCTCGAGCGCGCCGCCGCCGCCGCCGCCGCCCTTGCCGCCCTTGCCGCCCTTGGCAGCATGCTTGGCCTTCTTGGCATCGGAGCAGGCCTTGCAGCGCGTGCGCGGGATCTTCCAGCCTCGCTCGAGGAAGAACTCCTGCTCGATGACGGTGAACGTGAAGGGCTTGGCGCACTCGTGGCACGTCACCGCCATGTCCATGAGCTCGCGCCGCTGCTTCAGGTACGCCTCCTCGATCACCTTTCGCTTGCGCTGAGGATCCACCTCGCCCAC